GGATTTGGTTAACATCTTAGAATCTTCTAATTCGAGACCAGACGATTGAAGCTATTATTTTTGTAAATACAATGAAAATACGTGGTTTAGAAACTCGGAATGTCTCCGAGGGTGAAACTTGGTCCAAAGAGAACTTACAGAGTAAAAAAGAATACCGTCTCCGCTGATGTAGTCACTCGTAAGAAAGTTTCCGAGGCATAAATTAAGGGAACGTTTGGTCACAGAGTCGGGTAGGAGTTTGCAGACAATCGCGCGGGACGACAGGGATTTTCAGCCTCGGGAGCAATGGGTCTCCTGATATACATATAAAACCGTCTTCTCCTTAACGCGAGCTCCGTGCGTCGCGTAACTTCCATCGGCGGCGAGACGCCTTTCACTGCCGGCGCATTCGAACGTAAAGAATGGTAGAAACTCGATAACGGCGCGAGAAAATATTTTTCGAACGGCACCCCCGGTTTTCTATCCCGAACTTCCACTCTCATCGCCTCTGGTTTCGCTCCTGTTGAATAGTAACTTTTCTCATTTCCTTCATAGAAAGGGCCGAAACTTGCCGGAACGGTTTCAAACGACGTTGCCACGCGGACTAATTGTACGATTTTAATTCGAGCTTCCGCCGGGATACGAACGTCTAATGTTCTCACGGGGTTCTTTGACGCCGTCTTTCGACACACAGTTTCACGCGAGGAAAAACGTGTCTGTCACCATCGACGACAGTTTCTCAAGAAATCCTGTCAACATCATCTGAATAGGTACTGGACGGAATTGCCTGGAGAGAGAGAGAGAGAGAGACGGGGGTGGCAAATCAAAGCGAAAATAAGATAGGAACGAATCGATATTCCCATAGCGAGAACGGTCTCGCAGGAAGCATACAATTTACCAGGGCGAATTAAAGCGTCGCCGGAAACCATTCAAGTGGGGGAGTGGAACGCAAAAAGAAAAAAAACGAAGGAAGGCCGGTTTATTTTATTTCTTTACCCCGGGGAAAATTTTTTCAAATTGTAACTTTTGCCCGCGATCCTCGCTCCTCGTTTTCAAAGCCGGTTAGCCGACGACAGTTTTTCGGCGATGAAAGCGGCGGCCGAACAAAGCTGGGAGTAACAGAGAGGAAGGGAGAGAGTGGAGCGATGGAAAAAGGAAAACAACGAACGACCACGCGGCGAACAATGCCGTAATGAAGAGTCGCGCTTTATTCGCGCGATACCTCGCCGTGTCGGTGAAAGCCGTAAGAGGATTTTCGTTCGAGAAAAATGCCCGGCCAAAATTTCAATATTCAACCAGCTTTTTGTTCTCATTAACGACCGGGGAGGAAGCCACGGATCGGTCACGATCGTCTTATTAACTTTGCGGCCTATGTCCCCTTCTTCGCTTGGCCGTGACATCGGAACAGTCGGAGTCGCTAGTCACTTTTATGGACCATCGACTCGTCGACGACGGATTAATTTTCAAAGATGCGACAGGGATTCATTAAGGACGGTTTATATGATGACCGTTGGAACACCTCTTGCTCGCTCGATGGACCCAGGATCGGTGATAGCTACGTTGCGCACGTGCAGGATAAAGTGCCGTTGGAAACGTGTTCGTTGGAGAGTTTCTGGCCGAAGAAATTTCGCCTGCTCGAGTACATAAACGTTGCTAATAAAGGTCTCAAAGGACCAAGGATGTCGGCGTAAGTCTACCTTTAATCCCTCTTCTTCCGGCTGGACGAGGCAGAAAAAAAAGGAGCTGGAAGTGGGGGAGAGAAGCCCATTTACCGGAGAGTACCTTAAGATTACAAGCTCTCGAAAGCATCCAGTTAGCCTGTTTTATTTAGCCACCGGGATAAAAACCGAACCGAACCGCTGAGGAAAATACTACATACGTATATAACAAATAGACGAGTCTAAAAGCTCCGGGTCTTAAAAGAATTTAATTAAACCACGCCGAGGAGGATTACTGATCTATATCGCAGAATTTAGAACTTCGCTAGATAGCCAATGGATTAAAACGAACCATTCCTGTTTAAAACGTTCCTGGGCGACGATCTTCAGTATCAGAAAAATTAAAACACGTTCCCATTTCTGTTCTTATATGATATTTTATAAACATTTAATGGTCTTTGCATCGATATGGAAATACTGGATCGAACTAGTAAAGCTAGAAGAAAAATGAGACGGAGACAAGCTAGTCGAAACTGTAAAGAGCGCATTGATTTTCATGAAGAATCAGATTCTCTCGTTGGTCTTTTGAGCTGCACCTTTTATCGAATAAGACGTCGAAGAGCGTCATGGATTTGATTGTCGATGACGAAGGGTCGATCTCGAACAATTTTCACTTGACAAAACTGCTGTTTGCTTTTTGCCCTGCCGATCGATCAAGAGAAGGAGGAGGAGGAGGAGGACTTGAAGGATTTAACGATCTCGAGGTACAGTGAAAAGGGAGCGGGAAGCGTTAAAAGTCTCTCGAAACGTTGTGGGTTCCACACAGAGAACGCGAGGGAGTGAGAGACGAAGGTTCGGTGGACGACGATGGTAACGCAACAGGGGTTGGGTCGAGTGGGACATTTCAAAATTTCAAGAAGCTCGAATTTCCGGCGATAAAACGCCACGCGAGAGTAGGAGGAGGAGTGCAAAAGCGGAAATGTCCTGGATGAAATTGGACGTGCGACTCGTTTGCAAAGTCCGAAGGTTGGACAGGCTACAGAAGTTCCTCGGAAAGGTGTTTCTTTCCGAGATGATAATTCATAGTGAAAAATATATCTACCAATGCATTAACTTCGTACATTTTTCTAGTACATGCAGTAGTAGTATTTTAAACATTGCATTGATTTTAAATGGTTTGCACGTTTAGTAATTTTGCCCGTTCCACTTCGGGAAAGTAAACTTTTAGCCGATACGGCCTTAAATATAATACGGCAGCGTATTAAGACGATTAAATATAACGAGGGTACGATTGACTCGAAGGGGAAGTGAATTGAAAGGGTAAGAGGGAAAATAGATCGCCCATTGTCAGACACGTTCCGAATCTACAGCTGGACCTACATTCTCCCCCGACTTTTTACATACAGATGTCGAGGACGTATCTACTTATAATTGTACTAAATTTTTTCGGAATTGCTTCGCCGAAAGCAACGATACCATTCGATTCTGAATGATTCAAGGTAGGACTCGTACTGTCTCTTCGGTCAGTCGCGTTAAAAGATCCAGTAGGTTCAATTTCCACTTTAGGGGAAACAAGAAAAAAGGGGAGCCGGGTTTGGCAGGAAACCGTGTGCCAGAATGACAACTCCGTCATTAGGGCAGCTTCGTCATTATGAATTATCTATGCGAGAGTGACGCCTGCGCTCTCGCAGGCGATCCAAAAGCGAATTTTCCCTGACGAATCGACAGACCTGTCCTGTTCTATTATACATCAGATGTTTGAAACGTATTTTTCGTATCGAAGCGACTGCAATAATAATGCCTGTTGTACGGTTGAACGTTTTTTACATGACACTTTACTTGAAAGGGTTTTTATGACGTACTAGATCGACATTCCTAGCGGTACTTAAAAGACTTAAAATTTCTCCGCGTCCAGCGCTGTTCTAAATAAATGAAATTCGCAGTCATGCGATCCACGCGGGGTATTCGTTATTCTATTCCTTGTTTACGTTCGACACGGTGAAATTTGATTTTCCAACGTTGCGGCGAACGCGATCGAGTAACACCTCTGTTTTCCTGTTCTGTTGGCTCGAGTATACAATCCGTCCGCTGCCTTGTTAAGCGCGTGTAAAACGCACCCTCCTGCAACTCCTATACATTTATGCCAACTACTTTCCGCCAATTTGTGTCCCTCCATTTCGTTGCACCGAAAATTCCTGCTGCTTCTCGTTAAAATTATGCAGTTTCTGAAAGACGACGGCTAAAACAATGGCTATTTACTTTTAAATGCTCGAGACCACGCGGTATTCACGTCTACAGAGAGCGATTCGAAAATTTTCTCGATCTTTGCGTAGTCGTTGACGGTATCACGGTCTCATCTTTAGAACCGACGAGCGAACTGGTAAGAATCGAAGAAGACGATCGGTTTTCAGCCGGTAAAAGTCACTCGATAAAAGCAGTTTCGCGGCAGCTCGCGTGTAAAAACGAGTTTCGCTGACGAATCGACGGGCATAAAACGAGTCGGACGAGCCAACAAAGACGGGACATTTATCGAAAGCTGTTAACACGTTGAACGGGGAACTGCCGGGACGAAAATTACTTTACTCCGCGGCAATCGTGAAAAAGTTGATTCATTCCTGTTCGATTCTGTCTACGATAGATCACTTTCGATACGATAAATGTAACTCGAATACGAGCTCATTTATAAGATTTAATAAACGGATCGTCCTTGTCGCGCGCCTTGAATTATCGTTCTACGATTTCATTTCGTCGCTTTTTAATACGAAGATAAACCTTGGTTAATGAACCTTGTGATTTTACCTCTTCTCTTGCTTTGAGAAAAAACACATGATACGCTCTGCTGAAAAAAGTTTGTCGATGAAGAGATTATTACGTTTAACAATTCGGATTAAACGGTATTCCGAGTCAAAGGAAAGATATCACAAATCCGTATCATTTATTCTTTTGTACCTCTTTTAATACGAACATAAATATCGTTCGACGAATTACTGATTACGGATTTTTATGCAAAATAAAATATTTAGAACAGAAAATTGAATAACGATTTGTACCTATAAATTAAATGTCGCAGCATCTATGCTGGTTATAACATTTTCTATCCTTTCGCAGCGTTCAGTGGACCGATCAAAACTCAGTGTAAACGTATAAAAATCCGCGGTCTGTCGACGATAATCCTGGTCGTCAGGAATTTGATCGGGAACGGTGTAGAATAGGGATAAGAATCGTGTATGTGCACGAGGTTGTGTACCGCGCGTATCAGTGCCGGGTGGCCGTTGGCGCGGCGTAACGATACGTCGGCGCATCGATTCGGAAACGTTCGAAAAAGTTTTGTTCCCGTAAAACTCGCCGCAACTTGCTACTTACCTTAGCACCGATCGCGTACCCCGTGCCAGTCCTCAACTTCCCACGGTCGTTTCGCCGGGCATATCGGTTCGCCAACGCGGAACAAACTTTTCCCCAGTTGTTCGCTGGATCGTTCGAATCGCGCCCCACCTCCGGGGCCGAAAATTTCTCGCCCACGAGAAACTACGGTACTCGCGAGCTGCCCTCGCTGTTCGTCCTCCACCCTGAAGCGGAGATCCTGAACCGAGCGGGACGTAAGAATTCGCGTGAGCACTCCTGCAGCTTCTTCCTCCCTCCGACGATAGTGTGTATTTACGTATATTCTTCTGAGAAGGGTAAACCGGTACTTGGCTAGCTCGTAAGGATTCTTCTCTCGAGTCGAAATTCTCGGTCTGGATTGACCAGAGGAAGGCGCATCGGTACGAAGCGACGAGAACACTTTTGTCACCCCGACGAGATACGTTCCCCTCACCGAAGAGTCGATCGAGGAAGACTTCGCCCTTCGCCACCTCCTCTCAGACGCGATCGAGGAGCCCGGAGGTCTGTTCGTCGTTTACATTGATCCACGAGCGCGGCCCTGTCATCTGTTACTCATCTCACACCAGGATCTTTTCCTGTCTCATCGGTACCGTCCTCTGGATCCACTTCACCGGATCCGTCTGTTCGGTGAACAAGGGCGACACTTCGGAACGCGAGAGATCTTCCCGAGACTCATCTTCGCGCAACAGGAAGAAGTTCCGGATCGCGAAATCCTCTTCAGAGATCTGGCACGTTGTTCCACGCTGATCGCAGCATCCGAGAGTCGCGTGCTCCGAAGAAGATCGTACCGTCGGAAGGTGCCTCCGTTCTTCAAGGCCGGAGAAACGTAGGCGATCGTAGGGACATGTGGCCGGGTCTTCGGGGTCACAGACGCGATGTCGACGCGATCGAGAGGGTCGAATGGAACCGTTTGCGACGACCGGACGGGGAGCGGCGTTCCTCGAGTGCCGTGGAAACTGTCTGCCGTCCATGAACAGCGTCGCCGGCACGGACGCACCCCGTAGAAGGGTGCAAACCGCGCAGCCGTCATCTGAACCAGGCGAGGACGCTTGCGCGGCCTCGTGCGGTCCGTTCGCCGCATGGAGGAACGCCGCAACCCCGTTCCGACTGCCTCTCCCGCTGGTCTCACCCTCCCCTGCAGCCAACCGCCCCGATCTCTGTGTCAGATCGCCTTTTTCGTCGAAGGCCGAGGCCACGCGATTCCACGAGCTTCTGTTTTACAATTTCTCGACGTTGGGCTTTGTCAGGGTGTCGGGGCTGGATCGTCTGGGGGTGTCTCATGATTCGGCTTCGGGGTTTCGTTTCGGTCAGGCGAGCCAATGGAGTTTTTATAAGGGGTCTGCTTTCGTATACTCTGCCGATGGATCGGGCTAATGCGTTTTCAAACGTCTTTCGTAGACAGATTTATAAGAGACCCTTCTTATGAAACCATGCCAAATATTTAACAAACGTTGCCTCGAATTCGATGATGACCGAGGGACAAAGCAATTTAATTGTCGCGAACTCGGTGCAAGCGAAATGTTCCCAAAACACGACGTCCAGCGCGAAGTAATTTACTTCCCTCCCTTTTCGGACGTTTACGACGTTTCCTCTTTACTCCTCGTTCTTTATTTTTTTGACGAAGCCGGGCGTCGAGATTTCAAAGAACTCATCATTGTACCTTCGACGATTGTGGTCCCTTTATTTCCTACCCCTTTCATGCTCGGCACCCTTTCAAATTTTTTTCCCGTCCCACGAATACGCGCCGCGGTAAGGGAAATGGAAGGTGGACCAAAGAAAGGAAAATCATCATTTTCTGTTCGCTATTTGTGTAACGGAATGTCGCCGTCAACCTTTGCCGATGGAGTCATCATTCTCGCGCGACCTCACCGAAAATAGCGGCTACGTTAGGGAACTCCTAAATCCCATGATTATTCGTAAAGAGCATATCCGTTCAAATCGTGCCGTATTATCATTGCCATCGTCCGTTGAAATTATCAAATGAAACTCGCCTCTGTTCTTTTATTTGAAATGCGATTTCATCGGGGCCATGCATGATTGATCGTACGATTATATTGTGACGATCTCTCGATTGAAACAGCTTCTGATTGCTCAATGATATTTTTTTTTTTTAAATAGACTCGGTATAGCTGAATCGGATAAAAGAATGCGGACGAAATTCTCTTGTTTAACCAAACCCGGCGGCGAATGAAAAAAATACAGCGACGTGTACCGTACCAGTGGTTTTCGCAGCCGCGATGAGCTGGGCTAGATTTTTTTTTTAAGTCGAGAAGATAGTGGGATATCCTCTTGAAATAGCGAGCCGTTTTCCCCGTACGCGAAGAAAGGAAACGTTTATGCTTATTTTCCCCGACCGAGGCTTCTATGCATACCCGTTCCAAAGATGCGCTAATGCCCGATTCCTTCGAGGAAAGTTTCGTGGCTAAAGCGACTTTCACCCGGGGCTACGTCTACCTCTGAAGCTGCCTTTAACGGCCGAAAAAGCCGACACCGTTTAACGAACGTTCAAAATATTCCCTGATTCGGACACCCCCGATTCTTCCCTGATTACAAATTTCAGAGAGTCAATCAGTCTGGAGTCAATAGTGCCGATTTTTCTGCGAAATAAAACGCTAATGCGTTGTCGTTTGAAGTCGACGGGGGGTCGGAGGGGGATTAAAATCTGAGGTGGTAACAAGTGCTTTAGAATAGAGTGTAGATTTTGCCGTAACAGGCAATGTCTGTGAAAGCGTAAACGAGAGTTGGGAGTGGATCTTTCGACGGGCTGAATTCCCTGCGATCGATCGTTCCGCGGCTCCATTATATTTTCCCTTCGAAGGAAGACTTCATTTTTCACCTACTATCTACCTTTTTGCCCTCTTCTTTATCTATTGCGCGAGTCGTCGCCGACAGAAACAACTTCTCCCCCCGCTTCGCTCCTAACCGTTCGATCACCAGACGCGGTGCATTTTTTTAGAGAACAGAATACCTACCGCCTCTCCCATACAATTTATCGACGCTGTAGGAACTTTTTTCGATTTCCTCCCGGCCAGATTAAAGGGTGAAATTCCTTTTAAACCGGTGCGTTAAACTGCTGAGTAAAGTAGTGACTGAGCCACTCGTTCCGAAGGGCGGGACGTCGTATTTTCTACTAAAATTGCTTCGGTCAGGTTGCAAAGTATCTACGTGTATTTGACTGTCGTGACAATTAGAATCGAAGACGTCGAGTGGCTCTTAAGAACGGAACTCGATTTCGACCTCCGGATTTATTTCGTACTCTCGGGTTAACCGTTGATCGTTCGGACGCGAAGCAGTATCATGAATAAAACGAATATACGACTCACCGTGAAGGCGGAGCGTAGAACGTGGCTGACGCCGGTTATGGTCACCTGTCGCATCGGAATATGTATTTAACGGTACGCACGACCGAGCGCACCTTTGCGATCACTTCCTCTTGCATCAGGTTGAAGCACATCGCGATCAACGCCATCCCTAAAACATATTTCTGTCACACGCTCCTGCGTTTCTATTTCTCCACCCTGACGCACTTCTATAACTCATTTTATGTCCGAAGCGTCAGAACCAGGCTGCGAATTCTTATGCAGAGTAAAACTCCTCCGATGACGTTTCACAAAATGAAATACTATCACATTATACTATAGAGCAGAGGTAGGGAACTTTTTTAACACTAGAGAAAAATAATAATATTAAGTTGTAAATAACCAACATAACAATAATGTAGAAAATAATTTTCATATCTGCTGGAAAATTTAAGTTAGTAGGATATTTTCATTTGTTGAAAGTGATTGAATACATTAAAAAATAAATAACATTCGAAACCGTACAAGCGCTCTGACGCACGTTCCCCACCTCTGCTATAGAGCCTCTATAGTTCTCGCAGATCAATTCCATTTCAAAATTGATAAAATCCACAGTCCGGTTATAATGATCAAAACACAATTCGTATTATAAAAATATCCTCTGTCTCTCGGGTTTCGTGAAATGGGGAAGCAAAAATGATATTGTAGTATCTATTTTTATCCCTTTTGTCGTGATGAATATATTTACTATATATTCGCAGACTACGAATGTGCTATCAATCGTGAACTTTGGTATTTATCGATTTTAAATAGATTTTAATTATTTTTTTTATACGAACCATTCCGTGTTCCATTTTCTAAAATGCATTGATATAATAATATCTACACCGGTGCTGATCCGCGGGGTACTCGATCGGGACGAACCAACACTCGCGATTCGGAACGGTGGATAGAAAATGGCCATCGATTCGATTCGCTACTCGAAAAAGCGGCGCTTCAAAGAACTCGAGGCTCGTTTCGATCGCCGCGTAAACGCCAATCGAAAAATCGAGTTCCCTCTTTCCCCCGGATCCTTTCATCCGGCGTACCCATAGCTACGACGAAAAAACGAGGGAAGAATCCAACCGGTTGTCTAACTTTTGTCTCGTCGTGTACAAAGCGGCGCACCGTTAAAAACCAATCGATCCCCCCGCCTGACCCTTGACACGCTTCGCGACGCTTTATACCCCCGATTCATTAACCGCACCTCGGTGGCTGAGAAAAATCGAGGAAACAGTAAATCTTGGCTGTCGGGAGATCTTGTTAACGTTCATGCAAAATACCACGTGAGTTACGAGCTTCAATCGAACGTCTTGTGACACGGCGTCTCACAGTGAGAACAGACACGATACACTTTTGTATTTTATGATCGTCTAATTATTCCGCGTTTTATCATGTCATAAATCGTACGTTACATTTCTTACAAACACGTGTGCCTGATGCGAGTTTAACGACAGTTCTCACAGGGAATTAATCAATTATGGTAATAACGATGGAGCGTGTTTTTCGTCGGAGAGGGGACGTTGTGATAGAAAACTTTCCATCCCTCTTTATTGGATACATGCACGGGACGTTGGGAGATTTAATCAGCGAGAAGAAATAGATATTTCATACAGCCGGTTGGATTAAAACTGTCGAGCTCTTTGGGCACGATCGAGCCTGGCCGTCGCTCTCGTCCCGTTGGAAATTCGCGAAAATCCGATTGTTGCGTTGGCAAAGAAACGATTACGACGTCGCGTCGAATCCATCCGTTGTTCGTTCGACGAGAACTTGCGTGCGCGCCGAAAGTATCGTGCATCGACAACTCCTGATCGATTCTATCCACGATTTATGCGTTCCCGTTATTCTTTTGTCCTTTTTGGGGCTCGCAAACCTCTCGGTATACAAAAGGTGATGGTTTTTTTTTCAAATAAAGTGTAGTCTCAACGAGAAATGGGTACGAGATCGATCGACTCTTGGAGTAAATTATTATATACGTGCTGTTTGGCATGAGTTTTGTGCGAGCCAGTTTCACGCGTGCAAATGACGAATGGAAAATGGAGCGTGTAATATTCGAGATCTAGCGAAAATGATTGCGACGTATCCGTCAGGCAGAGTTTGAACGAGCAACAAACGACAGCGGCGGGGTTGTTCTCGCGGTAATAGAATTACCCGGCGATGTATCACGGCGAACAAGACGTCGCTGTCGTGGTTCAAGGATCGAAATCGATTCGACGGCAACTAGAATTTATTTATAGTGGAAAATCCGGCACGGTTAACCACGGGCTGGGATCGCGTTGTTCGTTCGATGAATCGGGTCGACGAAAACTTCTTTCCTTCCGCATTCACTTGAATAGAATCGTCGCTTTGGGTCACGTGCTCGCGATTAACTCCTACGATTTCGTCACCTGTAAAACGCTGCGTGAAAACGCGGATCTCGATTCGACGGTGGAATCGTTCTTGCGCCTCTATCGACGAACATAAACAATATCGTCTGCCGTATAAAACGTTCTTCGGTGCGCTAAATTGAAAGCTGGTTGCAGTTATTTTAAACGAAAGCAATTAACAATTTCCATTTGCCAATTTATACCACGGATATGTCCACAAACGAGATAAACGTTTAATACGATGGCTGGACAAATTAAATAAACGTTAACGAAATAACGGACGGATAAAAAATAATGAAAAGCA